TTTGACTCTGTCTGCTTTTTGTCATTTTGTACAAAACATAGGCACTTTACTCAAAACCCGAGAACTCAATCGCCAAGATTGTTCTCGGGTTTTGAGTAAAGTACCTAGCCAATTCGCCAAGAACCCGAGAACTCAATCGCCAAGATTGTTCTCGGGTTTTGAGTAAAGTACCTAGCCAATTCGCCAAGAACCCGAGAACTCAATCGCCAAGATTGTTCTCGGGTTTTGAGTAAAGTGCCTAGCCAATTCGCCAAGAACCCGAGAACTCAATCGCCAAGATTGTTCTCGGGTTTTGAGTAAAGTGCCTATGTTTTGTACAAAATGACAAAAAGCAGACAGAGTCAAAACCGAGTAGTTCGACTACCCCTTCGCTCACCGGACCAAGAATCAGCACCAGCCAGCCTGACCAGCCCCCAAGAAATAGGAATTTTTAGGGTGCGGGAATATTTTTGCACCAGACTGTATCGAAGCGGAAGGTAGCACCTGAACTGGACTGCATTTCTCGAAAATATATAATACGCCCACTCACCCACCCAATCACACACCTCTGGTATACAGTACTAACGAGTTTCCTAATAAGATTCAACATGAATGGCTTATCACGGTAAGCTGTCACGTACAGCGCGTATTCCTTTGCAAAGGCACTTTTTCTTGAATCAATCAATTCCAGATAAACCTTACGTAACGCCTGTAACCTGAATCCGTGGGTAAACGGCTACCCGTTTGCTTCCCAATCAGGCCTTATTCCCAAAAGCAAACCCTTTGGGAGAAAACTTGAGCTCGTGCGTGAAGCGAGGCAACGTGAAAAAAGGTGTACGCGACGCGGGACTCGAACCCGCAACCCCCAGATTCGAAGTCTGATACGCTATCCATTGCGCCAGCCGCGCTACGAAATTTGAGGGAAAGAAATTATAGTATAGATTCTTATTAAAGTACTTGCTAGCTGTACCCAGACAGCAGATATAAATAATTGCGTGGGCAGGTTTAACCGTTGCATATCAGTGACCAGCACACAAATAAATCTACGATAATATTGGGGTTGGTCGATTAATATAGCACAGGCGCAAGTGTGCTTTTCCCCCCTTCAACGTTCGATTTTCTTTTTTTGTAGAAGTAGTTTGCCAGATCAGATGGTAAGGTATATTAGATTACTTAGCAAAGCTTGAATCCTAATAACCCTGTAGCCCGGATAACTCCCCTACAGCATGTTAAATTCGACCTCAATTCGAATAAACTGGTTTTGCGCGCGCGTGTACACACACACACACACACACACACAAGTGATAAGCAGTGGGAGCTTGCGTTGGCAGTTCTGGGCAGCAAGGTACAAGGAAAGATCTCGGCGATCCATTAACTGCTGAAGATAGAGATCTAACGGACACGGAAGGGAAAGCGTTATCTGTACACACACGGTGTGTGTGTGTTTGCTCGCACTCGCTTCCGGATGATGCCTATGACGCCAGTGGTGGCAGGTGGTTGCTTTTGGTTTTTGCTGGTTTTACAAAAACCATGGCTTACAGTCCCGGACACCATAGAGGGGTCCAAAACCACATTCCCCAGAATCTGTCAGACAATCAACCCGTCATCCTGTTAAGAGTCAGACATAGCGTCCGACATTTTCTGAAGCAGGCCACAGTATATACGGGTGGTGACAATAGCAAATCTCGATTCGCCCAGAAAATGTCAGACACAAATACAATCGCAATGGGAATACAGTAACATTGGGACTATATTGTAATAATTTACTGGTACTGTTATGGCTTTGGGCTTGGTCCATTAGTATAACTAGGCCCAAAGCAGAGTCGCTGTCTGCTGCCGGACCATTTACTCCGACTGCCGCTTTCGGGCATGACGCATCATAACTAGAAAGAAACACAGTTTGTTGCTTGT